AAGTTTGGAGAGCACTTAAGAAGCTAGAGTTGCTCTTACGCATCTTTCGTGCTCTCCAAAGTTCCCGCGTGCTTCATATCTCGATGAACGCACGCTGACATATGAACCAATTGTTAATTAGGACACATGTTTCAAAAATAGTTTAGTTGTTTTCCAATTCTCTTTTTTTGCGTCGTCTCAAGCCAAAAATGTTTTTTGGCCAGACCACCCCTGTGGACAGCGATCGATATAACAATCTGATATTTCAACGCAAATTATCGAGAAGGCGCCTTCCGATCACCTTTGTTTACTTTCAAAAGTAAAATATATTAAAGTTCAAAAGTAAGTCGCGCAAGCGTTACGACCGATCACGTTTACGCATCGCTTTAGGACAACTCGGTATCTATTCTCCATTCAGTTTTTATGAAAACCTAAAATCCTCAAGAAGATAAACGAACGAAGTCTGAACGGTCAAAAGGAGATTTTGGTCAATATTCAGAATTATGCAAATGATCTTTGACACGACCGCGATTGATCAAACATATGGATTTGCGTTGTTTTTAAGCTGTTAGTGGATGAAAACTAGAGATATGCCCGCGGGTTTGAGGTAATCGGTGATCTCATTGGTGTATAAAGTATGCACTGATATGCTTTTTCAGCCCGATCAACGCCTGCATTTTGAGAATTCTTTTGTACAAACTAGTGAATTTTTTGATATGCAAATTATGGTCGAAGAGAAGGCTCTCCTCTGATCACGCTGGTATAAAAAAAGTTCAGCTGAAGTTTCCATATTTGTATAGGTAATCACATGATTTCGAGTGCAATTTGGAATAATTAAGCACGAGTAAAATTTTTTAAAGACGAACAAAATTGCACGAGCCCGTAGGGCAAGTGCAAGTGCTTGTTTATTCCAAATTGCACGAGAAAAATCCTGTGATTACGTGCTAATAATATACATGGAAAAATACGAGATGGCTTATCATAATTAAAAATAAGCAAAGCGCGCATTAAGTGCAAAAATGATTTATTCAAACCGCGCGTTCGATCAAAACAACCGCATACGATCAAAACAATAATAAATTATGCAATGATATCTTCACATATTTAAGGTGCAAAAAAGTTCAAGGAATTGTTCAGTCTGTGTCCGAATCACTTTCGATGAAATGGAATCGTCGTTTCCGAGGTTTAACCATGTTTGTTTTTAATTTCGGCGTTGGATCGCTCGAGCAAAGTGTTAAGCCAGGTCGGCTTGTAATTTTCGATTTCCTCAACAATTCCCTTCTCTAAACACCACTTTTTCCAAACTGACAACCAAAAAGCAGCGCTTTTTACAGTGTTTTCGTTGTTTAAGCTGTTTTTCAGCTGCGGTGGCGAAAGAAAGCCTACTTAAAACGCCGGCTATTGTTTCGCTCGCAAATTTTCAAATTTTCAAATTTTGTTGCGACATCCAAGGCTCGCATTTGATTGGTTATCTGTGAGTTTCTTTGATTATTGACCAATCAGAATGTCTGATTCGTTTCTTTCTTTGCACTGAATTAACCCTCTTCTGCACTGAATTAACTCTCTTCTGCACTGAATTACCTGAAAACTGCATTTATCTTAACCAATCAGAACTGAGAAATTTTTCCCCGTATATTATGTCTGTAAACTAACTGAATGCATCTTGTAACTTGTAGTTAGGTAGAATTCCGTGAGCTATATTATTGCAGTCACTGCGCGCTGGACAAAACTGTGAAATTTACACTTTCGATCACTGTCGACAGGGGTGGTCCGGCCAAGAATCATTTTTGGCTTATGACGACGCAAAAAGAGAGAATTGGAGAACAACTAAACTATTTTCGAAACATGTGTCCTAAACCCTTTTCATGGGTTAAAATTAAAAATTGAAATTTTTTCTGACGGGATGTCGAGAGGACCGCTCTTAGCGAGAGCGGTACTTAAGTATTCCATCAAGACACCGACAAAGGGATTTATTTTTTTATGTCACAGTTTGTTAGTTCCGAAAGTTGAAGTCCTGTTTTAGATTGCTTTTGCTTCAACAAGCTTAGCTATTTATAAGTTAACATAAGTTAGCTCCTTTGCCATGTTACCTGAGTTAAATATTTTTTTGCAAAAAAAAAGCTTGTACATGCAGGAACATCATTTTGAGTTTCATTTCTGAAGAGCTTTGTCACCAATTGAAGCTTCTTGGTCACTGAACAGTGGAGGGTAAACATTATGTGATCTCGTGCATCGAGACAGGCATGATCATTACGCACTATATTCAGGAACTCAGTACTAAACCACATAAAATTGCCACAGAGAAAAACAGCTTTATGTTGAAGGAAAAATACTAAAAATTAGTGAGTAGAAGTGTCACCAAGGAAAAATAGACGAGCAGAACTTTCCTTCTATTAACAATTGACAACTAACAGTTTTTTCGTGTAAACAATTGATTTGACGCTAAAAAGCACGCCCATGGTTGTGCGCCATAAATCGTGTAAAGTTATCACAAAAAAAAATGGTTGAATCTTGAAAGACACTCGCAACTTCTGGAATAAAATTTGCAAGCTTACTGATTTGCCCACTCAGATAATATACTGACAAAAAGAAAATGAACTTTACAAGTGTTACGAGTCATGCTACACTGGGTGTAATGCCAATAATAGTCGATCATGGATACTATTAAGTTGAAAACCTAAAATTCTTATGCAAAAGAGAGAACGTTTGGAGTCATCTTTGTACTTGGCCTTTTATCCTGCAAACCAGAAGCGCAAGACTGTGTTATTTCAGCTGAAAAATGAAAAGGGTTTAAAACGAATAAAAGCATTCGGTCCGAAGAAGTGTGTTTTATTCAATTACTTCCTGAAGTAAAATTATCACACTAATCGACGTTACCACCAGCGCCTATGTTTGCATATCAATTCCGCCCACGTTCCTTTAAATCGTGATGTTAACGGCTTACTATCTGACGCCTATTAACACCTCGTCAGTAAAAATTTAACTGAGTTAAAATCATTTCCGCAAAAAAAAAAGCCTTGTACATGAACACCATTTTGAGTTTCATTTCTTGAGAGCTTTGCTAATACGAAACTAATTCCAGTCATATTTTCTGGTCAGTTGGCAACGAAAGGTAACAGTACGTGATCTCCTAATCACTACGCACGATAGTCAGGAATTACTACGTCGCGTTAAATTACCAAAGAGAAATTTTCATATGACAGTTGTCAGCTCCGGAAGTCGATGCCCTTTTTTGTTCTATTTTTGCTTCAATAAGCTTGCCTATTCATTTCTGAATGACAACTGAGTAATGTCAAAAAGAGACAAGTGTTTGTCGGCACTATCCGTTCAAAAGAGGCACGTAGGCTAGCTTCTTAGCCATGTTAGCTGAATTAGAGTCTATCTTTATATATAAAAAAAAAAAAACCCCTGTTCATGTAACAGCATTTTGAGTTTTATTTCTGCAGAGCTTTGTTACCAGATGATGCTTGTTGATCACTGAGCAGTGGAGGGTAACAGTATGTGATCTAAATCGGGTAAAATTACCACAGAGCAAAATATTTTGATAGAAAAATACCATTAATCGGTGAGCAGAAGTATCTTCGTGAGAAAGATAGGAGAGCAGAACCTTCTTTCTGTAAACAATTAACAATCATCCCTTTTTCCGAAGGAATGTTTTATTCAACTACTTCCCGATAGAGTTTATTTGTTGATAGTTCCTGCAAGGAATTTTTTTTTATTCAAAAGTCAGTAATTGTTTACCATTATTGTACTCTTTGTAAACTTAACCATCGTACCACTGAACAAACGCACATTTTTATCACGCAAATGGAATTAAATGAAATGTTGGCAACAATCATACCATGTTACATTTGAAAGCTATCAGATTTCCCAATTTCATAGTATTAATCCTGTCAAGTAGTGCCTCTGCGTTATACCTTATGCCTCTTTAGTATTGGGTTATGATAAAGACAAATGGATTCATTTTCATGGATGTGACGCTTAACTCCCTAGTTATTTTTTTCTTCAATAAGCTTGCCTATTCATTTTTGAATGACCTCTAAATAATGTCAGAAAGAATTCGGAAGTGTCTGTCAGCATCGTCCATTCCGAATGGCAAAAGAGAGCTCCGTAGTCATGTTAGCTGATTTAAATCTTTCTTGGAAAACCCCTTTGACATCGTCAACATTTTAAGTATAACTATGGAAAGCTATGTTGATAGGATACTCAGGAAAACTGATAATTTCTGGTAACTGTAACTGTAACTGTAATAAAGGATAACAGTACTTGATAAAAACAAAGTCATCAAAGTGTGCACGATAGCCGGTAAAACAACACTCAATTGTTCATCGCTTGAGGCTAAATAAACACAAAAGCGATGGAACCTCCTTTAACAAACTCTAGCTGACTCTAGATTCATTTAAAAAGGCTGTTAAGTTTCTTTCTTGACCACAAGTTGTTCAGTTTTGTTAGAGCTACTTTGGAAAATTGAAGAAACTTTCATACTCTTGAAACGAGTCGGTTGTGCAAAGTAAGTTTGCTTTTGATTCAGTATCATGCATTCTCCTTTTTTGTTAACGAGATATGAAGAGCTAAGGCTATTTTTTTAAAATCAGGTAATTTACCTAAGAGATTGTTTTTTCTGGGCGAAAAAAACTGCTCGTAACATGCACAGAGGTGGGAATCGCGGCAAAATTCAAGGCACGCCTTTATGCAAGAGCAGCGCCTTTTTGCTTTATGAATTTTTGTTCAAAGTCTATACCACCATGATTTATCATTATGATTCTCGAATTGGACTCTTTTTCGCGATAGTCGTTGGATTTTCAGTTCACTCGTTCGCCTGCTTGCAATTGGTCTTGGAAGAAAGGAAAGACGCCATCCCCACCTTGATCATTTCCACGCTTGCTAACGCAACTATAATCGCTTATCTAGACACTTGCGCAAAGCTGACCGTTAAGTTGCGCAGGTAAAACGACAAGCCTTTCATTATCAAATCTTCTTGTTTTCTTTTAGGTATCCAAGACAGTTAAACAGAGAAATCAATGAAGATTTCTGTAGTTTTTGCCTTTGCCTTCGTGTGTGTTCTTGAATGCTGTGTCTCAAGTAAGAAATGAATCATCATGAAATAAATAGCGTCACCATTAAAAACATTTTTTGACCTAGAAATAAGGCAAAAACATCAGTGACACACTTGGCTGCGTCTTGTGTCCCACTCTTTTGTTTTTACCCCTTTTGACGTCTGGGATTTGAAACTAAACAAACCTTTGGCAACCAGGAATCTATTTGCTCAATTTATTCATAAGCGTATTTTGAAACGGTCTGGTTATCTTGGTTTGAACGGGGACAAAGGAGCTTAATAACATCTATTAACTGCTTTTATTTGAATTAAGAGTGAACTTTACTGTTCTTTTTGTTTTCGAATGAGGTCTGGCACAAACCGTGCGCGACTCTAGAGTTGAAAAATCTTCGGAAAATGCTCGGAGCTATTATTCGAAAGAGTTTCCTTAACTTGTTAGACTTTCTGACAGTCACAAGCCCTCGAGAAACTCATTTCAGAACTCAACCTAAACGGGCGCAACGACCCAACCTCAATCCCCATCCCCTCCCCCCAAGTGATAATTAATGACTTGTTCCCAAAAGAATGAATTCTTCACAGGAGTTAGGGCTCGGTTTGGGGGTCTAGTTTTTACGGAAAACAGTTCGTAATCTTATCTAATTGTCTTAGCTCATAATGGAGTTCATCTTATTCATTTCGTTCTTACATTGTTTCCAGCCGCACACTTCAAGCCTAAGGTAGATCCAAGAGATGCTGACCACAACAGACGATTTATACGTAAGTTTTTTTTCTCAATTTTTTCTTGTCACTCGTGTTCGTATTCATGTTCCTCGTTTAAGCCCAAAGGTTGCCACTGGAATTCATTACAGATTATCTGGCGTGAAAAAGATCAGATTGCTATGTTAGGAAAGATGTAGCCATGATGTACACTCGAAATTAACACGCCCTTAAAATGAGTAATATCTCGTCTCCTGGATAAAAACAAATAAAAACAAATGCAATTGAAGACTCTCACAGTAATTTCCCACAAAGTTTCAAAATGAATGTTTGTAGATTGAAATTATAATTGTTCAATTTGAATAAAGCGCAGTTTGCAATTCTGGTTCAAGTCTCTGATTAGTGTAGAGCTTTAAATTATTTAAAAGATATATTCTATCTTTAGCTTGCTACAGATGGGAGACATGATTTCAATATTTTTTTTCTTGTTGAGCACATATACTATCATTTAAAAAGATATAAAGGTTACAGGGAATTCCTCTAACCGTTTACTTGCTTCTAAAGTTTTATTTTCTGATATTTATTTCACTCGCTTAACAAAAGGCTATGAGACATAATACGCATATGAAATTAAAACTGTTCCATTGGTAACAATCTCCCGCCTCATGTTGATGGAAAGAAATCTTTTGTTTTTCTTTTGTTGAGAATTCCTCAGTCTTCCAATTGCAAAACATTGCTTGTAATTCTGTCCACAAACTAAGTCTAGCATCATTGTGGAGCTGAGGTGATTAAATTTTCCCTTCGTTTTTAATTGGCGCAGATCTAAGAGAGGAGGAATACATCAAAGAACATATGGGAAAGTTAACTTGATCTCATAGGTGATCATATGGGGGAGGGGGGAACAGGGAGGTCACAGCCTCCCACATTCCGTACCACGTTCTCCTGCTTCCCGACTCTCGACTCCCGATCTTCATTGTCTCCATTGTATTTCTCACGTCTTCAAGTTATTTGTCGATATTCGAAAAAACTCGTTTTGGACTATCTTTTCTCAGAGGCTCACTATTGAATCCCTGTTTTTAACTGAAATGGCTACAATTTCAATCAAGATACACAAAAGAACACTGAGAATGAAAGATTCCGATAACTTAAGCACGACCCTGTTAAGGCCATAATTTATGTGGAACTCAACTAAAAGCTTAATTACCTCAGGACCAGTTCTTAGTACATGGTTACAATCTTGGATGAGTTACTCAGCAGTATGCACTAAGATTTATGGTTAGGTAGAACGTTAAAAATGCTTGCAACGTTAAAACTCAGGTTTTCACGGAACTCAGTAATTTCTCCGGAATATTGTCAAAAACATAATATAGCCAAAGGCTTCTTTGGTGAGAATATCTGTAGATTTAAGAGGAAAAGATCTAAAAATTAGTGACAACTTGATCTCCAAAGAAACTTGTAAGAAAGTTTTGGAAGAAACTCATGGGCCTTTATTCTTTTTGTTCAGATTTCCCGCGTGAGTTTGGGAAAGATGACTACGACGATGAAGAGGATGGAGTAGTAAAAGACATCGAGGAACCATTTGGTAAGTCTACCTCCCAATAGAGAAAGCCTGAAGCGACAGCGGGCGCGCATAGGCTTATAGGTAATCATGGTTGCAAAGCTATAAATTAGAATGTGGCCAAAAGATTGCATAAATGTGCACGCGCCACTCTAGATTCAGGATGTATCTCTTTCCTAGAGTAGTTAATTAGTTGTGTTTTGCAAGCACCAAGGACTAAATAGATCACAGGATAAAATTTGCTTATTCCTGAATTTCTTTTGCCTTTACTTGTCTATATTTTGGAAGGAAGTAATTTAGCATTGCTTTCTTTGCTTGTGCTGGTCCGGCCGTTTGTTATCATTTATATAAGTCATTCTAATCTTTTGGTGTGGCTGCAAATACATTTGAATGTTCTTTTTCTCCTCAGACATACCCTTGGAAGATTTCGAAAATTCAAGAAAACTTCGCAAGCATAACTTCCAAATTTCCGACAAAGGTAAGTTGATTATCAAGTTAGACATTTCGTACACAAAAAATATCAAAGATCTTGGAGCACGCGCGCGAAAATCGCCTCTTACAAGTTGAAACTAGAAACACTGACAACAAAAGAAGCTTTGTGAGATAATTGACGTCAATGCATAAGTCCAGGGATTTAAGTGATGTCAGGAGTTCTCTTCCTATATGTTATCATAAGAATGGTACATACAAAAATTTTTTCCCAGTAAAATGCTCTTTTTCGGGCAAGAGCTCTCACACAATTTTTTCAATAAAATAATCCATGTTTCAAACATCCTATATGCAAATTGCTAAGTTGGGAAATGACAAGAAATGGAGAATACGCATTTTTACATGAAAGAAGCTCCATTGAAACTCGTACAGGGTGATTTAGGTTTAGAAGAATGACTACTACTACTACAACGAGTGACAAAAGTCTTGGCACGCTCGACTATTTGTCGAATTTTTTATCCATTCATTTATCTCCCATCTCTTCCCCCATTTCACTGTTGCCTGGGGTTACAAAGTGGGACTTTTAGGTAACGTATTAGAGATGAATTATAAGATTTCTTTCCATCGTGTTGCGTGGAGGGTTGTCGACCACTAAGTCAGGGGAAGCGTGCCAACTATTTTTGCCTCTTGTTGTAGTTATTGGATTTTCCAATGCGAATCTAGCGGGTAAATTGCCCCATCATCATCTAGTTCGAAGTCTTTTTATTTTTATCTTTCCTCATACTGTGCTGTCTATGAATTACATCTCCTTTATTGAAGATCCTCACACATAATTAACTCTCTCCACAGACGAAACCAAAGAAATTTTCGAGAACTCAAGAGTATTTCCCGATTTGGATACTCAGACTCCTAAAGAAAGTGAGTAGATTCCTAAGCAGAAAATCTACTTGTCAATGAGTAACCATGGACCTTAGCTGTCTCAGGGATACTAGAATATGCACGAAATGAAAGATGACTTCCAAATAGACATGGTTGTGTGAGAGAGAAGTCATGATTGTGCCAGCAACCTAGACGCTGACTTTTTTCCTAAACTCAAATGTTTCGCAAAGGACTCTACGTGACAAAAGATTACAACAATTTGGACATGAGTTGGTAGGTTAAGTTTTCCCAATTTAGCATCACTCAAACCGTTCTGGCTGAAATAGTTGCGGCATTTTAACCAGGTTAAAAGCTGTTTGACATGACTCATCAACCAAGTCACTCGAAAATAACTTTTACTAAGTAGGACACCAAAAAGAACCAACCAGTCAAACTAAGTGAGAATGCATGATGCCAGTAGGGTGTGACTTTAGACTGAAACCAAGTCATGTGTCCCTTAAACTTCCTAATGTTTGAACTGCCTCTTTTTCCACACACTAACACTCCATAACCATTAAAAAAAGGTGGAGAAGTGAGAGATATGACTCGATATATCCCTATTACTTATCGAGTATTCATTGAGTTACAGCTAACAGTTACAGCTTCCTGCCACCACTTTGATACTTCAAAGCCAACTATACTTTTTCAATTTATTCTTTCTATTTAGATGGGCTGAACGAGTTACGAGGCAAGCCATGGAATCTTCACGAGGACCATTTCAAGCCTCTTGAGCCAGGTAAAGTGACATTTTTAATATCATCTCACATTTCCTGTTCCCCATCCCTAACTTTTGACATCGCTTGTGTAGATTTGAAAATAAAGCGCAGCTACTTATTTTCTCCAAGTCTGGAGTGTAAGTGTGGCATGACTTTCGGCACACTGAGAGACCTGAAAGAAAGCCGGATATGAGCCATGACTGAGAGGCTGCAGTTTCATTCCTTGTTGGAAACTTTCGAGGATAGAAACAAGGAGGTCCTATGTAAAACGCCAACATTTGCAGTTTGGACGCACGCTTGACGATCTAAGACAGTGAACATGCAATTTGATGATTTAAAAAATGTCTCTAATTAAGAGACTCGCTTAAGCAAACATCGGGCAAAAGGCCTAATCAGTTTCCAAAATTTAGGCCTTTAGAAATTTCTTGCGAATATCATCTTTTGGCGATTAGTCTAAAACCAAACTTTTAAGTGATTGCTTGTTTGACAATGCAACAAAATTTATTTTTCATAGGATACATCGCTTTTGTAAAAGTCGTGGCATTGATGGGTAACCAACCGCTCCATGACTCGGAAGGTCTACTTCCTAAAGGGAATCTACTACTAAAGATCGTTCTGAGTGATGGCAAAGTGCATCAAGAGGAGCTGAATGGAAGCAAATACCAAGGTCACCAACATGAAGAAGACTTGAACGCCGAAAGTGATTTTAACCCGCCGCTCATCTGCACTCGTGAAGAAATAACAAAGGTTCATCTGGCGGCTCGAGGAAATAATAGATGGTACGTTGCGTCAATCGATACCTACACCGCGGGATCGCATAGAGCCTTCACTAAACTGACCAATGATCCAGGCTTCAGTATGTGGGTGGACGGCAATGAAGAACATGATTACCCATACCACGCCAAAGAGCACCTCCTCACCTATGCTGTCGCAGGATCCTGTATCACGTACATACGCGTTGAGGCAAGGACGAAGGGAAGCATGAAAGGAGATGGCTCCTCAAAAATGGATAGAAAGAGCTACTTCCTTATCCTGGTTTTGACGCAGGGCCAAAAACTTAGGGCAGAACTTGTAGGATATGAGCTACGAAGCCAATCCTCTGTGCTAGAGCTGAACTTCGTCAGCCGATTTCAAACCAGAAGGTGCGTTTCGATGTCCGAAATTAAGGAAGTACGCCTAAAAACTCATCATCAAGGAAGTGAAAATTGGCATATATCATCCATTCACACTTCTGCTAAGACTGGTGAGGAGCAGTACATGGATTTGACAAGTGATCCACACCTCAACAAGTGGCTTAGAGAGTACAATTCCAAAGAAATCAATCTAGAATGGGTACATCAAGAGACTTTAACCTGTGAATACGGAAATCCATCGTGCGAATGCATGGCACACGCAGAAATTTGTAAATTTTATCTTGAAGTTGACGAAGTTCGAACCTTCACCAGCTATCAAAAGTTGTCGGTCGATAGACCTACCGGAATAGCTTTGCGAGGAGCCGAGGGAGTGAGCTATTATTTCGATAAAAACGGAATACGTTTGCCACTGCAATCTAATAGAACATGTTCAACATTGGACCCGGACAAATGTACTTATCCCCAGTTTGTAGATGGTAAAACGTACCGTATGGCAATATCCATCAATGGACTAATTCCTGGACCTACCTTAATAGTTTATGAAGGGCAAAAGGTTATTATTCATGTTCACAACAATCTCACTACTGAAGGTATTTCAATTCACTGGCATGGAATGCATCAGAGAGGAACACCTTGGATGGATGGTGTGGGGCAAGTCACTCAATGTCAAATAGGACCATCATCAAGCTTTTCATACGAGTACACTGCTAGTCCTTCTGGAACGTTTTGGTACCACTCTCACAGTGGCGCACAAAGAACAGATGGCATCTATGGAGCACTTGTGGTCCAAGAAAATGAAACAAGGTTGAACCAAATCCGAACAGAACTGAACGCTAACTTTCAAGATCTTCCAGATAAACACACCTTAACGCTTCTAGACTGGCAAGGGGAGGCATCTTTGGACCTGTTCACACAGAGCCAAGCAGGCTTGGGCTTTTATCCAGACAAACCATATGGCGAAGTACCTACTCCGTCTGATCAAAGGTATGCTAGTACACGTAGTTTTGACAATGGCGGGGCTGGACCTATCCCCTACTTTTCTGGAATCATAAATGGCAAAGGCAGACATGTTGATGTTCCATACAATAAAACAAGACTGAGTATATTCACTGTTGAGTCCGGAAAGATATATCGCTTTCGGCTCGTAGGAGCCCAAGGGCTTTATTCTTACAGCTTTTCCATTGATGGTCATAAACTGATTGTGGTCGGCACTGACGGCTATTGGATTGAACCCGAAAAAGAGGTTGATTACATCATGATCCATCCCGGAGAGAGATATGACTTTCTACTCAATGCAACAGAGACAAGTAAAGACTACTGGATTCGTGCAGAGACTATGGAGATGAATCAAACTGGCCAAGGGCCCCCTTACGAGTCACTAGGACATGTGGCAGAAGCTATTTTGCACTACAAACAGGATAGAGAGTCGCCCGATCCAGATGTGCCGTCGCATAGATATGAAGAAATCAAAAACAATTCTCCTCTCAGAGTGTGCACCAAGGAAAATCCATGCAAAGCAGTGAACTGCCCATTTAAGAAGTTCCACTCTTCATACAACATTACCTGTACTAATGTAGACGAGCTGCGTTTACTTGAGCCAACTCCACCTGGGGAACTTCCAAATGCAAACCCTAACAGCCAATGCCGAAATTGTACTCATTTCATCAATTTTAGTTTTGAAGGTGGATCTCAAACTAGTTCAGTGAACGGGCGAAATTTTATTCTTCCTTCCTTTCCACCCCTAACCCAATATAACGATTTTCGAAAAAAAGACACGATCTGTAACCTTACGGCTGACTGCAATCCATCGACACTCGAGTGCTCATGTGTGATGGTGATAGACATTCCATATAACGAAACTGTTCAATTGGTGTTTTCATCAATGGGTGCTTTTCTTAGTGCTCATCCAATTCATCTCCATGGCCATACGTTTCATGTTGTTGCCGTTGGATATCCCGAGTATGACAACATCACTGGTTTTGTTAAAAAACGCAACAGTGATATATCCTGCGCTGATGTTAACTGCACTAAAGAAGGGTGTGTGAACGAAAGTTGTACCAGACCAAGCTGGAAGACAGAGCCAATGAATTTTGACATCAATAACCGCACGATCAGAAAGGACACAGTAATGGTCCCTGCTGGCGGCTACGTTGTCATCAATTTTCTTTCTGATAATCCAGGCCAGTGGTTTCTTCACTGTCACAAAGAATTGCACCAACTTGAGGGAATGGCACTAATTGTCAATGAGGCTTTGGAGGAGCAGCCCAACCCACCCGACGGCCTGAACAAGTGTGGAGACGTTGATATGAGTTATAATGAGACTAGTTCGAGGGAATAACCCTGATTGTCAATGAGGCTTTGCAACGCAACTTGCAATTGAAACCACCCGATGGCATGAACAAGTGTGGAGACTTTGAGATAAGTCACCATAAATCTCAACCATAGTTGTTAGTTACGAAGCTAAGGCATGAAAAACTATTTGAAAAAGGATAAGTTCCCGACATCCTTAGAAGCTTTTAACCTCAACAAAAGTACTACTTGAAAAATATTCTCCAACAATGTGTTTGCTAAGATCCAGAATTAAGTCAGTTTTAAATTAGAGCGGGTCAAATTGAATACTCGGTAACAAGTGGGAAGTGTTTTTGTATTCTTAGGCTCTCCTGGCTTGTTTCATAACTTTTAAACCACAAACTCGGTTATAAGTGTAATTTTTCAGATTTAAAACTAAGCATGTTAGACTAGTGCGAGACAAATGTGGGACTAGTACTAGACTATACAAGTGTGACATAATTTCTAAGAGGTACTTTTTTGTTTATATAGCCTTTGCTGAGTTATTAAAACATTTTTTTGAGTATTATATCACCGACGTGATTTTTTGTGGATCTTTTAAGATCCAGAATTAAGTATTTTACATTAGAGTGGGTCAAATCGAATACTCGGTAACAAGTAGGAAGTGCTTTTTTTATTCTTAGGCTTGACTGGATTGTTTCAAAACGTTTTTAATCAACAACTCGGTTATACGTGCATTTTTTTAGATTTAAAACTAAGCATGTTAGACTAGTGTGAAACAAATGTGGGACTAGTACTAGACTAGACAGGTGTGACATAATTTGTAAGAGGTAATTTTTTTTTTATATGGCCTTTGCTGAGTTATTACAACATATTTTTTATGAGCATTATATCACCGACGTGATTTTTTGTGGATCTTTTAAGATCCAGAATTAAGTATTTTACACTGGAGTGAATTAATTTTAGTATGCAGTAACAGTAGAGTTTGTTTGCACCTGTAAGCTTTCCGGTAGCTTTTTTTTATCGCCTCGTTACAGTAACGTTTTCTATCACAGGAGGCTCGTAATGATTTAAGCGTCTGTTAAACTACACCATATGCTGTATGATCAAAGACAAGTCATTTAGAAAGATTAGATTCAGAGACACTCTGACACTTAATCAGTCATCAAGTTTTAATACAAATTAATTTATCTCAGTTTTCACGGTAGAAAACTTCTTTTAGAAGGTAATATTCAATTTATGGCGAACTAAGAAAATACTCACTGTAATAAATTTGTTTGATTGATTGATTTCGACTGTTTGGGGCGACGGAAGAAACAGAAACTTACTAATGACAACACTCTCTCTTTCTCCCTCCCCCCTTCCACCATTATTCGGAGGTCCGGTGCAAAATAAAAGGAAAAAAGATACAACTACAAATCTGTTGCTCAATAAATTGATTCCACTGTTTAACCATCATTTTCTTTTGTTAGGAACGACGGAAGAAAGGCAGTCACTCACAACCCCGCCCATACCCACCACCGAATAAAGGGTGAAAATCAAATTTTACGTTTGCCTATTTTTAAAACCAGTAAAAAAAAAAATTTGGGGAACGCCAGAGCGAATGGAAAATACGCCTCGTATTCTCCTTGGAGTCAATTAAAAAATTGTTTTCAAAAATCCTCATTTTTCGCTTCCTATATTCTCCCTCAGTTCTCAAGTGACCTCATACACATGAGATCTTTAGAAATACTCCACATGGAAAGCTGGACTCGTCAAGTTTAATGTCGTCATAAACGACGGAAAGAATAAAAGTTATTTTACCATCAACCAAATGGAGATTATTCCATGGAAAGTGTGCAGGAACGATCTTTATTATCATTTTAACCAAAAAAACTGCAGCTAAATCGTAAAAGAAACTCACAATTTTCTGAATAAAATTTACAAGTTTACTGATTTGCTTACTCATGCAGATAAAAGACTGACAAAAAAAAACCAGCTAACTTTACAAGTCAGGCAACAAGTGTTACAAATTATGCTACACTCGGCGTACCACCAGCAATAGCCAATTACGGATTGCCTAAAATATCTTTGGCAAAAGATGGAAGGTTTGGAATCATTTTTACTCTTCGCTTTTTATTCTGCAAATCAGAGACGTAAACTGCGAAATTTCAACCGCAAAAAAGGTTTGAAACGACTAAAAGCAGTAGGTCTGATGTAGAGTGATTTATTAATGACTTCCTGAAGTGTTCCGTTTGTTAATAGCCTCGCAAATAATTTTTTTTTTTAAGAACTCAGTTATTGTCTACTGCTATTGTACTCTTTACGAACACTGAACAAAGGCTCTTTAAGAAAAAAATAACTTAAAAGCATGAAATAAATATCATTTCTCTATACCAAGTCGTATATTGTCTGAAAATAACGATGCTGTTACGTTTGAAAAGTGTTACTTTTCCTGATGAAAACTGTTTATCGATATTTATAGCTATGCTGGTCATGTCAAAAAGTGTCTCTAAGTTATAGCAGAGCTCGCAACTCGCGCAGCTCATAAGCGCGCTCCTAAGCACATGGCTAGCGTAAATAATTGTTGTTTACAGTTTTCGAATTCAAGAACAGTTTTTGAGATTCTGTTTCTGTAACCTCCCTGTATATTTTCTGTTGAATTCATTCAGGTTCAATCTCGGAATTTCATCAGTAATAAAGAACAATAAATCCGTATATGTAGTGCAGAAGTGATTATGAACGATAAATTCGTATCGGCACCATAATTTGGGGAAGTTTTGTTGACTCTTTATCAGTTTACTATTTGTGAACTATTTCTGTTACTTGCTTGGAAATTTCTTTTGAATTATTTGAGTCACACTTTCGGAATTTCATCAGTAATTAAGACTGTAAATCCGTATATGTAGCACAAGAGAAGCACATTTTATACTTTCCATACGATTTTAGGAAACTTTACTAAATTGACTCTCGAGAAATTGGCCTGGCATAACTCGTTGATTATTTATTATTTTGCGGCCCAAAAAGCCTGGCTTATGACTCAGGAGGTACTGAACTTGATACACTTGATACACAAGGCTCCTTTCAAGGAGGAAAGTTAGAATAAAATTGCTTTTACGACCGTATATTGCACCCGGTTTACATATGTAGATAATTGCTTAAAAAATACCTATTATAGCTGTATTCAGAAGCATAGACATGTAAGTAATGTGCCTCTGCTTTATTTTATTATAGGTTTCTCTTTATGTCACATATATCCATTCCTTTAATTTCCTCCTTAACCTCCTTGAAAATAATTAAACCTTATGTTTTAATTCAAGTGTGAGAAGATAAAACAGACGTGTTGCAGAACCCTCTTTTCAGACTGAATTCAAGTGAGGAAATCAGTATTAATAATAGTTAATGCCATATGCTTCTCCTGAATCTTAAAATTCCAAGTTGGGAGCGTAGAAGACCATAGAATGATGTTTACTAGGCACTTGCACTTACCGCAATCATACATTCAAGCAATACTCTACATATCTTGATTACATGATGTCTTTAACCCTTTACACCCTAACACCCTATACCCTAACATTCTAACATCAGTATGCATATTCTCCATACTGTTCTCTATACATTTCCTAATGTGCTGGCAAGGAGAATTTGTTTAACAATCAAGAGGTTCTTCAGTTGATTATCATTCCCTTTATTATAATGACCTTCTTGTTCGATTCAAGGGTGATATTGAAAGGTGAAATTAGATGATAGTCACTCTCAGGGATTGAAGAGCCAATAATCGTATACATTTTATATCCTCCTCGCATTTGTTGGCAACAATAGTTAAGATGGTTAGGAAAGCAAACAAACAAATGAGCAGAAGACAGTGAAATGAGGGAAATTGTAAACTTTACCATTATATGGTAAAAAAAAATCACTTGAATTGTGCCAGCTATTTTTCTCCATTGCCCTTCATGTTTTTTATCAAATTAGATGTCCATACCAAAAAGTACACATAAAAAAAATACACTTAAGTGGTGGTGTGATTGATTCGTAATATTTAGAATGACAGAGGCAGAAAAACGCACTGAGTTTTAATTCCTATTCACAAATAAGTTAATCAGATTTTGGATCCTACATTCAAACTGGGTAAGATTAAATTGATTCATAGCATGCTTCGTTATGGTTTGTTTAAATGAAAAGTTAATTGTTATTAGTTTTCATTGCCGTCGCAATTAACATTCACAACAAAGTTTCATTTAACATAGAATGTTTCAAGAACTTTCTTCCTTTCTCTTCAATATTTTTAACTATTTCTGGAGCGCAATTAAAGGAAGCAGGTTATTAAAAAAAATAAATTTTGATTCAGGCAATTATTTGAAAATGTGAGTAACATTTGATGTTTTCACATGTAACAGGATAATCAAGCTGAATATAGCCTAAAAAAGAAGTAAACTCCACAGTAACAATGAGGTGACTAATTTGGAAACTTGAGCACTTGGCAAATACACCTTGGCTTGAAACTCTGATGATTACAGTTTGCTGAGGTAATTGAAATGTTAGTCTTCATGCAGGAACCTTCTATATGACCTGTACAGTCATATGTTGAGATAACTTTCGAAAAATGCATTTATGTCGGTAGAACTATTCTAAATACAGTACCACCTAGTGACAAAAATTTATGATTTCCTATTAGCATGAATTATTGGGAGAAGTTATGGTGGCAATTGACCCTTTTTGCTTGGATGCATAGGGTCTGATGACTGTAATATATATCTCTTAGCTTTCAAACTTTCAAATTTGTATTAATTGTAACTGTTTACCATATCTATTTCTCTTTACCATAAGCCCTAAAAAGTTGAAGCAGGTGAGTCAACAACCTGACTTCCTTTGTTTGGAATTGTGTGATTATATAAATTTTTTGTGTAAGTTACCACATCATAACATGTCATGTTATTATTTAGATTGCATTAAATACTCTTGCTCAAGCTTTCATTACTGCACTTCTTACCATTACTCATACCCAAACTAAACATCGACATAAGGAATTGG